ATATGTAACTATATATGTGTTTTCCGATGGTCTTAGGCGACCCCTGTGAAAGGGTCGTTCGACCCCCAAAGGGGTTGCGACCCACAGGTTGAGAACCGCTGCTCTAGAGCCTTTGGGTGATTTAACCATAAAAAGTGGGCAGAAAACTCCTGTGTTCATTTTCTCGATCAACATGTATCAGCCTGCGTGGCTATGGTGCCGGAAACTAGGAAGAGGCCCATAAGAAAGGCTCCCTGCTCTTGACAGGGCACACGGCCCATCTCGTGGGAGCAGAGCAGGCTGCGACAGGCTGCCGGTCACTCTGGGACAGCGCCCTGCTTACGAAGGAGCAACAGGCTATGAGGCAGCGAGGAGAAGGAAGCAGGCATAGCAAGTGGGACAGCTGAGCGGCGTCTGGGGAAGGAGTTTGGAAAGTTCAGGAGAGCTGCAGGGCTGGGCGAAGAGCCTGGGAGACGAAAGAGAAGAATCAGTGGAGACCACCTTTTATAGAACCTTGAGAATTTGGACTTTATCTCAAAGATGTGGGGATTTAGGCAGGTTTGGGGATGCCTGTTCTGGTAGTTTTGGGGAGTAGGGGATGATGGTGGAGGCTTGGAAGACCCCCAGCCTTCCACCTCATCTCAGGGGCTTTGATGGTACCCCAAATAAATAAATGCAGAAAATAGGATTCTCAGGAGAGGCTTGGTGAGGGAGCCAGGCCTGGGAGATGGGGCCTGGGGTTCTGTGGTTCTGGTCCCAGCAACTCCACCACCAGAGTAGGTGGGCCTCCTCCCTCAGGTGAGGGTTCAGGGCAGTTAGGCTTCTTACAACTCGCTCCTGGGAGTCCAAATGTTTCTGGAGGCTGTGGCATCCCTCCACTCCCCACCCCTCCACCTGCCCAGGCAATAGACCAGTGATGGCGAACCTATGACATGCATGTCAGAGGTGACACGCAAACTCATTTTTTTGGTTGATTTTTCTTTGTTAAATGGCATTTAAATATATAAAATAAATATCAAAAATATAAGTCTTTGTTTTACTATGGTTGCAAATATCAAAAAATTTCTATATGTGACACGGCACCAGAGTTAAGTTAGGGTTTTTCAAAATGCTGACGGGCCGAGCTCAAAAGGTTCGCCATCACTGCACTAGACATTTCTCCAGTGACGGTGGCCATCTGTGACGCAGCCTCGGAAGGAAGAGTCATTTCTGAAATAGAGAGTCTGGCCCTTTGACCTCAAGAGACTCCATGAAGTTCTGAGAACGGTGGCCTGCAGGCCTGTGACAATCCCAGGGGGGTTCTGGGCTCCTGCTATCCTGAGTGCATGAGGGCCATGTCCCATACTTGGGGAGTGGTGTCCCCTGGGAGCAGGGCTACCGTCAGCCTGGGAACCTACCTCCTGAGCTTTCCAGGGCCACTGGAGAGGCCTGTCTGTGCATCCCAGCCGGGAAGGGCTCAGTACCCAGCCAGGGCTGCCTCCCCATCGCAGGGGATCGGGAGGGAGGTAAGTGGGGATGGGTGGGTCTGCAGTTAGCAAGGTTGCAGTCAAGGTGATGAGTTTGAAAGACAAAGAGACCTTGGTTTTGCTTGGCAGCTCTCGGGAAGGGTCGGACCCTGCTCCAAAGCTTTCTGGGTGCCCGTTGCTGTCATAGCGGGAGGACGTTCACATCCTGGCCCAGATTCTCCCACCAGGTCCCAGCCCCCACTCTGCCTGTGTCACCTACACGTCTCCTCAGTCCTCCTTCCCTGGAACCACACCTTTCCTTCCCTCTTTCCCAAGAGCCAGAACTTCCCGGCTTCCTTGTCTTTCTACTTCTCAGATCATTAAGTTCTCTCCATAAGCATTTTTAAAAAATCTACCATAATCATAGATATTAAGCACATTTACATTGCTATGACACAGATCTCCAGAACTTTTTCGTCTTGCAAAACTGAAACTCTGTCCCCATTGGACAATGACCCCCCACTTTCTACCCCTCCTACCTACTGGCAACCACCATCCCACTATATGTTTCTATGAATTTGACTACTCAGGTATCTCAAACAAATGGAATCATATAGTATTTGTCTTTCTGTGTCTGGCTTGTTCATTTAGCATAAGGTCCTCAAAATTTATCCATGTTGTGAAATTTTATTCCTTTTTAAGGCTAAATAATACAGGTGTGGGCAAAAGTAGGCTTACAGTTGTGAATACATGAAACACGGAGTTTATTCTTGTATTACATACTTTTTCATATGAACCACTGTAAACCTACTTTTGCCCACCCCTGTATTTCATTGTGTATACACACCACATCTTGTTAGTCTA